ACACACACACACACACACACACACACACCTGGCGTGAGTTTAAGCCACCAGGTCCAGGACTCGAACCACGATCAACTAACTACGTGGGAGTCCTGCAACATAGCCATTATGCCAATTGCTGGTCCACACTTCATTTCTAAACCTTAGGAAATTTTTTAGATAAGGGAATTAAAGAGATGGCGCTTTTGAAAAAGTTAACAAGTTGTGAAGTTGTTAAACAAGATACAAAACCTTTAACACATACTTATTTACATAGCCATTTAATCAACTGAAAATTCTCACCATGAAAAATTGAAGTTGCTTCTAGAAATTTCAACAAATTTTGAAGTTGCTTCTGTGAAAGTTTTTCATCAGAGATGGGCTCATGACCTACTAGTTAAGGCGGCCTTGATCCCACATGGTTGACCTTGGTTGAAATCGTGGCCAGTAGCTTGAAAAATATGCTGGGCACATGTATGTGTCCCCGATCACAACAGGACAGAGAAATGGAAGAGAAAGGATTGTAGCTTAACTACATCCCATTGGTGGGATCTTTCTCCCTCCCTCTGTCTGTCTCTGCCTCTAGTGAGAGCACATGCCTTCTGGCAGTAAAATAAAAGCAACAAATGAAAAAATAAGGTTTTTCATAGCATTTGTTATACTTGTGTATAAGAAGTCAAAAGCTCTTCAAATATCATATAACTCAGGGGTTTTTTTCTCTGTAGATCATTTAAAGTTTATTTCAAAAAGCTCATGGGGGAACCAGCAGTTAGTGTAATAGCTATGTCATTGGACTCCCATGAAGTCGACCACGGTTCGAGTCCCGGACCCAATGGCTTAAAACTCACGCCGGGCGCATGTGCGTGCGTGCCCAAGATCCCGAGAGGAGAATGGAGGAGAAAGGATTGCGGCGTGACCATCCCCCCTGGGGGGTGATTTCTCGCTTTCTGTCTCTCTGTCTCTGTCTGTCTGGCAAGCGCACGTGCCCTATAGCGAAAACCTCTCCAAAAAAAAAAAAAAAAACTCATGGGCAGTGGAATTAAAGTAGAAGTTTATTTTGGTGCAAAACATTGAATGGTATGCATAGTTTTTTCATAATTCTGGATTTTCCAGGAATTTTTTGGGAGACTTCTCATACTATGAAAACTTGGTTCATTGTCTCTAGCTTTTTTTATTTTTATTAGAGTTTCACCTTTAAGATAGGGTTATAATTGGGCTGGCAGGTGGTGTGTTTAAGGGCGTTGGACTCCCAAATGGACCACAGTTAGAGTCCCAGACCTGGCGGCTTGCTTTCTCACTTTCTCTCTCTTTCTGTCCTTCTCTGGTCAAATTAAGTAAATAAATAAATAAAGTTAAATAAAATAATTCTTTTTAAAAAATAAAGATAGTTTTAATTAAAATAGTTGAATAAGGTCAGCGTTTTCCTGGACAATAAATAAAACTGTGTAAAACTGAAGCTATAAATAATATAAAACACAGAGCTA